TTTAAAGGTTTGGAGTCCAGAAAAAAACACAACATTGACATTTGTTCTTATTTTTCTTTCTTATTCAAAAATGTGATTTGCCTCCTTTGAAGGCGGACGGCGCCTGATTTGCCTCAAACAAATCAGAATTTGGTCAGAGAATGTGAACAAAACAACACTCCAGTGTGATGTTATTATTGTAACACTCCCTCTCTCCTCCCCAATCACGTCTGTTGGAATCACTCTACTGTGTGACGTAGCTAGAAATGCTGCTAAAGCTGAGCATTTATTCCATTTTTTCTGGGTATCTTTGCTATATCTGGGCTGTGTTTGTGCAATCTTGTTTTGTTTTATTGCTAACCTTGAACAGTATTTAAGCTCTTTAAAAAAACTTTCTGTTCTGTTTTTGCCATCATTATTATTATTTTTTTTATCTATTATTTATATCTATACCTATGATTACCTATAACGTCCCATTCTAATTCTGTTTTGTGTGTGAAATGCTTTGATTCCCTATATTTGACTTTTTGACATTCAAATGTTACCAGACCAAACAAAGTCCGGGCCACGTCTTTTATGTAAATACATGCATGGATGTCTTTAAAAACCCGGCCATAATTTGTAATTCTCCTCAGTCTTTGAGTCTTTGTCTGAAGAATTCTGAACATCTTCAATACAGTCATGGATCAAATGATGGCCTTCGTCTTGTTCCTGTTGAGCTCAGCTTGGACGAAGTATGTATCCGTCTCTCAGCGATCGTCCTGGCCTGAAGCTCAGACTAATTGTCGGCAGCAATACACAGACCTGGCTGTCATCAGTAACGTACAGGACAATGAGGAGGTTCTGAAAATCGCAGCTCAGCTCGGTGGTCGGGCATGGATTGGAATCAACTGGAACAACACAGATAGTGTTTGGATGTGGTCAGGAGGTGGCAGGGTCTCCACTTTTTTCTGGGGAAGTGATCAACCTGAGTACAATAATCAAATATATGGCATGATTTATGGGGGCAGCTGGCACGATTCAAATGATAATCAAGAGATGCGTTCTATTTGCTTTCACGCGATTGTGGTAAAGGAGAAAAAGACGTGGCTTGAAGCCCTGGAGTACTGCAGGGGGAATCACAGTGACCTGGCCAGCGTAGCCTCTGAGACAGAGTTGCTCCTAATACAAAAAGAGATGAAGAAAAATGCAGTCACTGAAGCTGTCTGGATAGGCTTGCATTTCTTCCCTGAAGGCTGGCTGTGGGTGGACGGGCGACCGCTGGATTATGAAGTCTGGCTCCATGACAACAGGCCAGTGTGTCCTCAGGTCTTCATGGAGTGTGCTGCCTTAAACACGACAGAGAACCAGCTGAGGACAGGGGCTGTGGACTGTGAAGAGAGACTCTACTTTCTTTGCTACTGACAGTTCACCTTTAGAGATGTTAATCATACTGTTATAGGGATGTAACGCTACACTTAATTCATCATAAGATTTGTGTTTTTTTGTTGACAATACGATTTTATCATGTTTTTTTTAACAAATTATGACCAAATTGAATGACTTTTTGCCTGTAAAAACGATGCAAAATACCATTAGCAACTGAAACTTGTAATCTTAAAAATTCTACTCTACCCAAACTTTTAAAATGTATCTTAAAGAATAAATGGATGACGTGTTTCCAGTCTTCTTTGTCTAACAAACTAGAGGTGGTACTAAACTACAGCAGGCAGATTACCTAACTGAACCATAGGATTGTTTAAAATATGGCCCTGACCGTGTTTATTGGAGATGCAAGATAATACTGTATCTGACAAATTATCAGTTAAAGGTGATCATTTTCATGTTATTACTGAATACGTCAGTCAATAACTGACTGGTCAGAATGTTTATGATGACAACAGCCATGGTACAAAATCTAATACTTTCAATATATGCCAAGCTCACAGGACAATGATGAGGTTCTGCAGATTATTGTTGGAGTTGGTGCCACCTACTGGATTGGAATGACCAGGCATAACACACCTGGTGGGTTTTAGATGTGGTGGCACGATGCAGGGCTGCTCAGTTTGTTTCCTTTCATTCGCTTCAACGTTGTTGTGGTAAAGGAGAGGAAGACGTGGGTTGGGGTACTGCAGGGAGCATCACAGCGACTCTAGGACGGAGTTGCTTCTGATTCGTGGACAGCTGGAAAGAAAAGCTTTCGCTCAAGCCATGTGGGTGGGTTTGTATTTCATCCCTGGAGGCTGGTTGTGGGTTGACCGGCGGCCATTGGATTATGAGGCTTGGCTCAATGACAAGAGGCCACAGTGTCGTAAGGTCGGCATGGAGTGTGCTGCCTTTAATGTGACGGAGCAGAATGTTGACTGAGAGGGGAGACTCTACTTTCTTAGCTACTGATTCTACTCAAAAAGAAAGTAAATGCCACTGATTAACTTTTCCTTTTCCGTTCTCTTCTTCCTAGATACGCTTAATCAACATCTGCAATAAGTAGTTTGTGTGTTTTTATTCTTTAAATACTCGAACAACCATCCTAAGACAGTGTTAAAGGAAGTATCTGGGTGTGGAGAAACCTTACCACTGCTGCCAAAGGTGGGGCTGTTTCCAAATCCCTCACCCTTGTTGACCTCAAAGGCTTCCCGGTAGCTATGCATGGGCCCCTTAATGACAGCAGGAAAAAAAAGGAGGAAAAAAAGAGGAAAATAATTTATTAAGTGCGGAAAATACAGAGCTACGTCACTGCATCAGTAAATATAATATAAATAAATATCTGATGTGTAATCAAAGTTAGGATAAATGTACATTGTACATGTTACACAAAAGTATGTGAAAACAGGGCAAAATGATTTTTTTTTACAAAATAAATAAATGAAACAACTGTTAATGAATGACTGAGTGCTACACATTTCTAATAGTTACTAACAAATATTGAATATTATACATACGTACATATACATACTCAGAAAATTAAAAAATAGACAAAATTAAATTGAAATCCAAGGATAGCAAAGTAAAAGTAGAGTTAAAAGCGTTGTCTGTAATGTTTAGTAAGCAAAAAAGCTAAAAGGCAGCTAACAGATAGAAACAAATGGCAAAGTTCAACACATTAACAAAAGTTAAAAAAAAGTTGCCACAGACAAGGAAATATATATAAAATTCCAAACTTGAACAGCAGTAGAAGGAAGTTATTATTATAGTTATAGTTACAATAAATAATATTCATATTTCTATTAAACAATGTTTCTTTTAGTCAGACACAAGTTATTAAGCCTTATTTTTTCTTTTCTTTTTGCAATATTTATCTCTTGTCATCCAACATCACTTAGCAACACATACCTAGTTTCAACTACTTTTGTATATAGTGTCAACATGTTGACTAGAGTGAAAGGGTCTTCACCTCTCTTGGTCTCCCTCCAGGATTCATAGCCAGATTGTTGGAGAAGTCAGGTGAATGAACGTCAGAGGTGTTTTCGTGGGCGCTCTGGTACTGACCCTCGCTGGTGGTCCGACGTCGACTGGTCTCCTGAGTCACTTCTGGGGTCATTCCTCTGGACCGCACTCCTGTAAGAGCCCAAAATTCTCAAACTTTGAAGCAGAATAAATAGTAAATACAACTATTCCTTTAAGGAATCATATTTGAATAACAGTCTAACTGCCCCTTGATGTAATAATAATAGTAATTTTAAATAAATGTAAATGTACTTCTCATCGCATTTTTTGGGAGGGGGGTTACTTTAGATTCAATTTGTTTTTTCAACTGAGCTTTAAAATTATTAGAAAAAGAAGAATTAAATGGAATCAAATAGAGTTTGTAGACATTTGTTCTATTATTTAGTATTTGTTAATGTATTGTTTAAGGCAAATAGAAGTTATTTATTAGACTTTATTCCTTCAACACATGTTTGAAAATGCCGCCTCCTCTGCTCTGACAAAACGACCTGGACGAAAAAGTGAAGATAATGACATGTATGGAGTTAAAAAGCTGTGAAAAGAGATTAAAAAAATGAAAGGAAAGAAATTAAAGTAGAGAAATTATAATAAAATGTGTTAGGAAAAAACAAAAGTGAGGGAAAAGTGGACAAACCAGAGAAGGAATAGGAACGATGACGGTCAGACTGTTGTGATGTCATGCTTTCACTGATGCCCCGAATACGAGCGTTGTACTCTTTTTCCAGAGCGGGGAGGGAGGACAGTGATGGAGTAGGTGGAGGAGAAAGGGCAAGGTGATGAAGAGGAGGAAACAAAAATACAACAGAGAGAGAGAGATGCATTGAACAGAAGAGGAAAAGAAAAATGAGAACAGTCTAAGGCAAGTGAACCACAGTCTTCTACAGTCTACAAACTACTGGAGTCAGTTCTTGTACCATTTTAGTCCTGCTGTGTGTTGCATTTATCAATTTCTACATTTGTTCAGGTTCCACAATTACAGAGAATAAAAAAAATAAAAAAATAAAAAAAGTAATATGGTTTGGAATTTCTACCATTTCTCCACTAGGTGTCACCTAACAGTTTGTAAATGTGAATGCAGACAATGTATGGAAGCTGGAGCATTTAAATGCTGGTGTTATTCTTACTCTCATCCTGCCTTCTCTTTTAGCACCTCAGCTATATTTTAGTGCCTGGTTTAATTTTACGAGCACAAGTCACCCCTGTGGTACAGCGCCCCCTCCCTTCGAGCTCCCTTTATCACATGAATAAATAGTAGTAACTAACAGAAACTGCAGAGATTTGGGATGATTTAACTCATTGATAATTTAGTATACCTATTATTGATATGTATTTACAGTATACACACACACACATATATATATATATGTTTCTGTGAATAAGTTATTGTACATATTATTATATTTATTCATGTTAAATATGTTTGTTTTTTTTTAAATTAGCCTATTTATCTTGTAAAAATTGTATTTATTTAAAAACCATTAGCAATTCATTACTTTTTGTTTGGCTAAAAGTTAAGCTAAACTTTTTTCAAACATTAAATGAGATTTAATGTATGTAATGTATGTTGGTCATGTACGAATGACCAACCAGCTGTGTGGCATTTCTTGACTACATTTCTGTACGTCCAAGGTTTACTTGCTTTTCAATGTATAGTCTGAATTATGTAATATTCATAGGCTGTGAAAACAATAACAAAAGAGCAGATATTTTTAAACATAAAGCCAAGAGATTGTGATTGGTTCTCTCTGTCATTGACACAAAAATCAAAGTTTCACTTTAGAGAGACAACGTCTGACAGTCTTACCAGCGATGCGATGAGCCACCAGCCCTTCTAAGTTCAACGTCTCCTCCTCTGCCTCCTGTTCCTTGGCCAAGGAGGAAGACGAGGCATCCTTGGGCTGTGGCGTTAGAGCTGGCACAGGAGAAGAGGAGGCGCTGTAGCCCGGATAAGGAGACGAGCCCTGCAGGTCCGGGGAGTGGGAAATCCTGCCACCAGGGAGCGAGTTTGCAGGTTTCACTGGTGCCTGCTGGTTGAAAGTCAAAGGGGGGTCAGAGGGGTACTGCTGGGGGGACTGGCGTGGGTGGAGGTAGGGCTCAGGCGTGTGTGTCGGGGTGATGTTTGGGTGTTGGTAGCCAGCGTTCGGCTTCTGCGGAGAGTAGACCGGAGACTCCATGACTGGGCTCTGGTTGGAGGCGGTCGACACTCGTCCAGGAGATCTCAGCTGCTGGTTGAAGGAGTTGTTCACTGAACCAGAGTTGCTGTAGCCCTGGATGGTGGAGTCTGCTTGGTACGAGGGTCTGATAAGGGTCTGGGAGAAAGGAACTTGAGATGAATTCAGGGTGTTCTCTCCAGCGGGGGCGCTGTGAGACTTGGACATGTGGGAGTTAATGGGGTCCAGGTCCAGCATGAGCATGTTGAGGGCCTCAATGGACTGCTCTATGTCTCGCTGTGAGGCTGGAGTGGGGAAGTGAGGCAGGCTGTGGGTGGACTGCAGTGGAGGGCCGAAGGGGTCATCTGGGAGGCTGTATTGATGCCAGGCATTGAGTCCTCTCTGAACGGCCTCCCGACTACTGGTGCTCCTCTCGGGGGCCCTGGGCATACGTTTGAGATTGGTTTCAGGGCTGCTGGGAGGTGGGTTACCGAAGGAATGGGAGCGGTACATCCCCCCTCCATTCTGGTAGCTGCTGTATCCCCCCTGTGGCGATGCTGAGTCCAAAGACCTCTCTTGCATGGTAGTGGGAGTTCGCACACCGTGCACCGGCATTTCGCCCAACTTTTCACAACCACTGTCGGGAGTCTGTGATTGGTTGGCGACGTCAGCTGCTGTTCCCTGGCCTTCTAGAGAAGAAATTGTCCCCAAGCTGTCAACGCTGTTTCCTTCTTGGCTGTGGGGCAACTCGTCGTCAAGAATGTCAGTTTCCCGCTCCTCTTTGGAAGAAGCTGCGGTCAGCCTGGTGTGCCCACCGTTGACGTGAACCTGCGCCGGGACTAAATGACGTACGCCCACTGCTGGACTGGTGGAGGTGGACAGGAAAGACTGCGGGAGGTGAGTCTGCGCCTCCAGTCCACTCAGGAGCTGATCAAGTTCTCTCTTCTCCTGTGGACTGAGCGGAGGGTGGGCCGCTGTCGGGTTGTTGTGATTGGCTGCGCTCTGCACAGACTGGCTGTGCTCATCAGTGCGATCGGTTTTAATGGAGGCAGTGGAGTTGCCCGAGTCGCTGCTCACTGAGAGGGTGTGGTCCACAGCAGGGAGGGAGGCGTGGCCTGTCACAGGAAGTGTCTGGTCAGCGGTGTGTACGGTGTGCTGCAACGAGTTTTTGGCGTTTGTCAGGGGAGTTTCGTGGACAGGGAGGCCATTAATGGTGACAACTCCCTCCAGCGAGTCCTTTTTTCGGACCCTGGCATAAAGGCTTCCATCCAGTGGACCTTGGGTGTGAACAACATCTGAAACAGAAAGAAAAAAAATAGGAGTACAGTTTTATGTTTACTTAATTTAAACCCATTATGTCTTTAGCATGGTGCCGTACCACCAGCTCTGTGACGACCCCCTGCTGTCCCAGCATCCCTCATGTTCGACCTAAGAGTTCAGCCTCCAGCAACACAGCTCCTTCCCACATCTATTAATAGGTGGAAGCCCCTGACACGTTGCGTCAGTGCAGCCCCCCGTGGTCTGTCTAAAGCAGCTGGTGTGTGTGAGCCAAACGGAAAAGTAACACTGGGAACCAGTAACACTGATCGTCTGTGGCTGAGGGAAACAAACTTCCTCCACTAGAATTTTGGCTGCCGAAACGGGACCCAACCTGGAATTCTCAACAGTTAGTAAAAATTAATATGGACCACACAAATACAGCAAAATCAGAGGTTTAAAGTAACTGTGGCTGCATGAAACCTATGTCACCTGTCATTGGGAAAAGTTGATATAAAAAATATAATTTGTGTGTGTTGTGGGGGTCTGTGGATTTTGATACACAGTATCTTACTACTTTATTAACTAGGTTATCTGTTGTGTACCTACATTAAATTATATCATTGGCATAACCATAAGATGTAATAATTCCATTTTTTGTCTAATCCTGAGGAATCTTGAAACTAAACTTTTCCTGTTTTTCATACAACTTTGGCTTACCTTTTTTTTTTTTATCGATCCATTGGCTGTCTGAGATATTTCTTTGACCAACTTGTTTTATCAAATGAGTGTGTTGTATTTGCTCAACCAGCACTTTTCGCAGTTTTTGATGAATCCTTTTGGTTTAACTTGTTTCGACTAAAAGTGACCTTTTTTAGTTTTTTAGTCTTTTAAAAGGAATACAGAGAACTACCAAAACTACAACCATGACAGAAACAAGATTAAAAACACTGCATTTCCTTATTTATGGCACAAAAACCTAACAAACATGTTTGCAGACAACACAGAGCTGACATTTCAGACAGGAACCAGCTGATTTGAACACAACACAGTAGAGATTCCTGTACTGGGCCTAAGTCTGCAGAGTGACACAGGGTTAAATGCATGCCTGCGATGGTGGGCTCATATGGGGGGTGGTCCAAATTGAGCCAGCCCTGAGGACAGATGGTGGATCACTCTGGCTGCGGCTATTTCCAAACCCATGTCAACAAAGCTCAGGCACAGCAGAAAGCAGCAGGAGTTAGAGAGAGCAGGAGAGTGTAAACACTGGCTGGCCAGCTGTCAATCAGAGCAAACTCCACCACTGTTCCATTTAAAATGGTTCTAAGAACAAGTGTAAGACAAATAACAGAACAATTAAATATTGAGTTTTGATGGAAGTCATGCTCAATATCTGGCCTGAGGATCAACTGGTGTACTTAATTGTGTCGTCTGTGGCTCGGAAAATATCCTAAATCACTTTATTGCATTTAGGCTTTTTTAAAAAAAATTTTAACATGTCGATTAGTTTTTACATATCTACTGAAATAGTTTTATTTTTTATTTATAGACACCTATAAATCTATATAATTTATAAAAAATACAAGTAGCTTAATTAATTTTTTAGGTTTAGGTTTTCTGCATTGTTTTTTGGTATTTTAGCTAGTTTTAATTCCTCTAATTCCTAAAAATTCATTTTTTTTTTTTTTTTGGTATTTTAGCAAGTTTTACTCTAATTCCTAAAACTTCTTTTTAAACCAATTCTATATTTCCGTGCCACAGATCCAATAATTTTGGCTTATTTTAGGAGTTCTGCATGGTAACTGGGCTAAACCTTTGCTTAAAATTATTTTTGCTATATTTGTCAAATTTGGGTTAGCTTTGCAGCTATCTTGTTTGTTCTTTGGTTCCATCTATTATCTATTTCTGGAATGACTTTTATTTCTTCTCTTTTCTTATACATTTGAATTATAATATGGTAATGCATGCATTTACAGTAGACCTAAACAGTCCATAAGAAGCAGCTGATCTTTAGATGTTGGAAAGAGTCTCTTGGTGGACACATAGATTAATGGTACAAATGTACACATTTTAAAAAGGTTCTAGGTTCTAGAAATGGTTCAAACCACAAAACAAATTTAAATGAAAACTTGAATGAAAAAATGTTTTCCTTACCCAAGACTCTCACCCACGCATGGGCTTTCTAAAAACCACATTCAGAAAAAACTCCTGTTTGCTGGTTCAGTTCCATTTAAATCCAAAGCGCTTCGTCCACATGTTCCTGCTTCGACAGCCTCTGTGTGAATGAGCTCTGTGAACTGGAGCTCTAACTTTCCCTCATCTCTCTGATTCCTAACCTCCTGTCACCCACCAACTCCATGTGCTCCACTGGAGCGAGGCGGGGCTGTAGTCACTGACAGCAGCCCACAGGAGAGAGCTGGCACCATGGATTCTTCCAGCAGTGGGGGAGGAACTCAGGGCACGGGGTGTGACCCATTGTGGGTGACTCCCAGCGTCTCATCTCTTCCACCCTGCTGTTATTGCTACTAAACCACAGCGTCCATAGCATTAATCTGTAGCTGTGACATCACTGGAGGTGGTATGCCAGTGTCCCCTCCGCTGCCCTCAACCTCAACATATTTGCCGTTAAATTAGTCCTTTCATCCACCAGGTTTATGTTCAACACTAAAACCCTTTGTGGGCACATTTTGTCCTTGGGTCACATTGCTATTCATGGTCCGGATGATTTTGGGACATGGGGCAGGGACAAAGACGGTCTGTACGAGCACCGAAATAACAAAAAGTACCCGGAACTGATAACCTGGTTGGAGTCTTATTTTGAGGGATTTCTAAACATTCAGGGGAAACTGGTTCCCATTAACCACAGGCTGAGATCTTTTCGCCTCAGTTTAACTTCTGACCTTTTAATGAAGAAGGAATGCCCTTGTTCCGGACAATGAAAGATGATCCATGTGGCAAAGACGACTGAAGCTGACTTGGTACTTCCACTTTAGTCAAAACTGGGCAACATTTTTAGCCTGAAAAAGTTTCCGTCATTAGCAGCTTAGGGCTTTTTTAGAAACATTTAGCTTTGGTGGCTCTGACTCACAGGTCAAGTATGGAAGTTTCCAGAGGGAGTCTTCCTGAATCCTCGCTATTTGCTCTCGCTCACCAGCAGGAGATAAAAGTGGTGATGATGGCTGGTGTTGAAGGGGGAAGGGGAGAATCACATCCTTTAAATTTGCCACAGACTTGTCATAGGCTTAAACGGGAAACACAACACAAGCTGATGTCACAAATGTGACTGGGTTGGACAGTCATGTCCACCAGGAAGACAGTGAAGCTCAAGTACATTTATGGAGAAACTAAAATTCAACTATAAGTTTTTCTAGATGAAGCTGCTGTTACTTTAGTATAAGCACATACCAGTGTTTTTCAACCTTGGGTCGCGACCCCTTATGTGTTCACTTAGAATTGAAATGTGGTGACTTGAAATGTTTAGTATTTGATAAGAAAGAGTTGAGTTGAGAGAGACAATAATCATACACAAAATACAGGACAAACTGAAGCTGAAACTGAAGCGCTGTAATATATCAAACAAAAGATCAAAAACGAATTTTCAAAATAAAATGTCTCTAGGGACGCCAGAAATGTGTTCAGTCAACATGGGCTCACAAGGCAAAAAGATAAGGAAACAGTGGTCCATACAGTAGTTGATGGGTTTCTTGTCTCGGTATGCAAAATAAATGAAAAGTTGAGAAGATTTTTTTAACGTTTTTTTTTTTTTTACATTTTAACAGTTTTCAGTTAACAGCATTATTAAATGACTTTATATCGTTTTGATAATGTATTTATTAACAGTATTTAAAATAAAAAAATAATAAAAACAACGACCATCATCTAGAATGCAGTTCTACAGTAGCACAGCTTGAGAAAATACTGTGTGCTGCCAGCAGCTACTGTAGAATTCACGTAAATCCAGTGATAATGTCTGTGAGTGGAACAAACACGGGGCTCAATCATCTGTGGAGAACAAATAGTTTTCCTCTGGTGTCAGAAATGACTGGCTGCAGCTGAACTCAAAATAGTCCAGTTGTGTCACTGAGCCTCAGCCGTCACAAATAACCACCGGCGTGTTTCCTACTGTAGTGAAGCCAGAGTGACATACCACTGTGGCCCAGCCACTCTCAGCCCTGCTCATTTACATATCCACACTGAAGTCCAGCAGGAACGTTAAATTCAAGAATAACGTTGTTTTAAAGCTCCGACTTTAGCAGCACGACACCTGTCCGTTCTCTGTGTTCTGTTATGTGACAGGTGCTGTTCCGTGCCAAAGTTCCAGGGGTGTTGCTCTTATACATTACCCATACACACACACACACGCACAGGGCATATGTATAAATATATACATACACTGTTGTCACTACTCAGCCCTAATAGACATTAATAAAAATATCTAAACACATGTGCTCAATGATTTATGGTGATACGTTGCCACAACAAAGGTCACATGTTGTTAGCAGTTTCCTTTTAGCCACATATGGCTAATTAGCCTTAGGTCCAAAGGGAACATGAGGACAAACTCTTGAGTGTCCTTTGCACAGACAAGAGATGCACGAGTGATGTTAGACCAACACCATGTCCAAAAAAGTTTGGACAGCTCGATCCAATACCCAGGATCAGTATCGGAGCCATATCCAAGTTTCAGGAGCGAACAAGGAAAACAAACGACTTTAGTCCAAAAGCTCAACTTAACTTTGTGTGACATGCTGTAAACAGGGACACTACCACCTCACATCATATTAGTAAATGACACAAAAACAAGTTCTAGTGCCCCTAGTGCCAACTTATGCAATTACAGTCAAGTTGATTTTATCTTACAAACTAAATTAAGATTTAAATTCTTATTGTACATTTATAAAACAAACCATTTTGATAAACTCGGATGATCCAACTCCAAATGATTCTGTGACCTATGAACTGGACCTGAGACTCATCAGTATTCAAAACTTGGCCGATTATATAAAATTTACAATTCATTAATTTTTTAATGGCTCCC